AAATGCTGCTCCTGCAGTCGCTTTGGAGAAGAATCTTTTCCCGTCAGTGCCACCTGGCCCTGGCTGAGGGTGACCTAGGTTGCCCGAAACAGGGGTCCTTCTGCTCCAGCCAGCACCGTCTGTTTGTGAGCGGCACGGAGGTGATTAATATGTTACACGGGGTGCTTAGGGCAGGTAAAACATCAAGCATGAAGTCTGTCCTGACTTTACATATTTGTGGTGGCTGCCTACGACTGCAGAGCTTATCTTAGGTTTAAACATTAATTCCAGCCCTCCAGAAAGCCTGTCCCAGCACTGTCCTGTCTCAGATGCAGCTGCCAATGTCGGGCGTCGGGGAAATTTTGAAAGCGGTCGGTGATTTTGGGCCGTTTCAGAAATGGCTGGTGCTGTTCACCTTGTTACCCTGCCTCAGTGTGTCTTTCCACCAGTTTTGCCAACTTTTCATGGTTTCGCGCGTGCCGCATCACTGTGACACCAGCTGGATCCGTGCCGTCGGCCCCAACCTGACAGAGGAAGAGCAGCTGAACCTCACCCTGCCCCGGGATGCAGATGGGGAGTATGAGCAGTGCTCCATGTACTCACCCGTGGACTGGGACCTTGACTCCATCATGACATATGGCCTGAACTCCACGGAGAAGTGCAGCAGTGGCTGGGTGTACCCCTCAGCAGAACCACCGTCCCTGCTGACCGAGGTCTGTAATCGCCTTTTGATGTGCTGGGGTGTGGAAGGGATGGGACACCCAAATGGGTCCCTTGTCGTGCAGTTCAGTCAAAGCTGGTGCCAGCTGTGGTGCAACTGGGCTGAGATTCATATCATGTGTATTTTGGGGACCTTGGCTCCACCACCAGGCCCCCAGGTGTGGTCCTGGAGAGTTTGCAGGCAAGCAGGCTGTGATATAGATGTCAACGGGGCCACAGGCAGTGGAGAGATTAATCATTCCTGGTGGGACCTTATTCCTGGTGGGACCTTTTGGGTCTCCCTGCCCCAGCTGCCACTCCGCCGACCGGGGGTAAGCTTCCAACTTGTTGCTGTGCACAGCTTTGTTCTCCGGACCCCCCAGCCAGGGGAAGGAGGCAGGGCTCAGCGCTTGGCTTCTCCTCCCATGCACGGTGGGGAACAGTCAGGGTGAGCAGCCGTGGGGCGTCTGCCTTGGAGTCTCAGCTTGGGGACTCCAGCTCAGAGCTGTTGCAAAGAGCTCGAGTTCCTCGCTGCTCCTCGCTCTGTGTGGAGGTATCAGGTTTGACGAGGAGAGGAGAGCTTGCAAAGCCACAGGTTTGATTGTCACCAGGAGCTCCAGCAACATCAGCAATGCTCCAGAGAGCAGTACTAACCTTCTTCCAGTGCTTTCTGGCCTCTCTGTATTTCCTATACATGCTCTTCCCTATGTGACACTTTCTATAGATGCCCTCTGGATGCTGGCAATTGCAGAACATCTCTTGAACAGAAATTGCTCGGCCTGGGTATCAGCGTTGCACTCATCCTTTTTCCTTTGGGACAGAAGGCAGTCTAGGAGAAGCAAAGTACTGGGCTTCTGTCCCAAGTCTCACTTTAAGCAAAACTTTCCAACCAGGAGGCTCCCCTGGGTGTACCTGGGCTGGAGGGGAGTCAAACACATCCCAGTACTTGGAAGAGGGGCACCACTGAGTGCCCCACAGGCTTGTCCCACCTCTGACTTGTGTGCGAAGAGCATGCCATGGAGAGTCACTTCCTTGGAGGTGGGATCAGAAAGCATGGGGAGCCTGTTGAGAACAAAAGCAGCTGTGTTTCCTTCCTCCAGTTTGACCTGGTGTGTGACAGGAAGGGCCTGAATGACATCTCCCAGTCCATCTACATGCTGGGGCTGTTCCTTGGATCCCTGATCTTTGGGCCACTAAGCGACAGGTGAGGAGACACAACCACCCGTCCAGGGGCTGTGCAAAGGCAGCAGAGCACAGAGTGGCACACTGCTCCCAATCTGGCTGGTCACTGCACCCTGGATGTTTTGTCACTGCCCCTTGCTAACAGGGACCCTGACCAAAGTCCTCAGGTCCCACAAGGACATGGCCACATGGTGGGTGGAAGGGAGAAAGCACAGCGTGTGCACAGGGTGCTTCACGAATCAACTGGGAGTCCAGTCTGAGCCTCACCACCCTCAAGAGAGGGTGATTCAATCACTGTGTAACCCACTGGGCTCTTCCCCATCTCCATGGGGTCTCTCTAGATACCAACTGTGTCTTCCTTATTCCTCCGCAGGATCGGCCGCCGGCCAGTCATTCTGATCTCCGTCCTCCTCCAGTGCTTGTTTGGTTTAGGAATTGCCTTTGTGCCCCATTTCTACGTGTACATGGCCTTCAGATGTGTCGTGGGGGCTTCAGTGTCAGGGATCACCATGACGATGCTGGCCTTAGGTGAGTAGGATGCCCTTACCCTGAGACAGACAGGTGTGGCCTCTGAAGATGCAAGAGAAAAGGTCTGTAAAGAAATAAAAATGATCATGTACATCTGGAAAAACACCGGGGTGAGGACAGGTCCTGCTCTGTGCCACCCTTCAGCACTTGGGCACCTCCCTAACCCTGAGTGAGAGCCGCAGGGAGAATCTCTCCCACACCAGTGCTCAGAGGTGGGCATAGGGGCAGCCTGCCAGCTCAGGAGGTCAATGCAGGAGAGAACCCGGTGGCTCTGGGACATGATCGATTTGGGCCTCAGGTCTGCCTCAGTGAGGGACTCTATGGACGCTGAGAGCGAAGAGGTGACTTATGGGACCATCATGTCCTCTTGCAGAGAGCCAGGTCATCTGGACAATAAGGATAAGCGGTGCATGTCATGAAAAACTGATGACTTGCATGTGTGATGCAGAGATCTGACCACCAGTCTCCTCCCCTCCCCTCCTGCAGAGCTCTTCTCGGGGGAAACACGCTGTTTGCACCAGGGGAAATCATTTGCATGGATGACCCCGAACCTTCATTCTTCTTTTCAGCTACAGAATGGGTTGGTGTCTCCTCCCGGCCAAAGGCAGTGCTTATTTCTCACTGCTATTTCGCCGTTGGACAGATGCTTCTGGCTGGTTTGAGTTATGCTATTCGCAACTGGAGGCTGTTGGAGATTGCAGGATCTGCTCCACTGTTTGCCCTTTTCTTCTACATCTGGTAAGCAGGAGCAGAGCAGAGCTCCTTGCAGACATGACAACAGTGGGTGCGAGCGGTGGAAGTGAGGAGGCAGCAGCTCACGAGCAGGTTGGGTCTTCCCATTAGAGTGCAGATGATGAAGGGGCTGCTGCAGAGCTCAGCACCTCTCCCTACGCACTGGCCTTCTCGGAGCAGCAGCTGCTTTGCTTCAGGTCTTCAAATGTGGCCCTTGGTGCCTAAATGTAGACCTGGAAACCCTGACCTGAGGAGGTACTTAGACCCTTCCATCACATGTAATGTGCATTGCTTGCTGGATGTGGCCAGAGAGAGAGAGAGATGGGTTGTGGGGAAATCCAGATGGTTGCAGCAGCATCTCCTGATTTCATCTCTTTGGCAGCATCCTACCAGAATCAGCTCGGTGGCTGGTGATGAAAGGCAGAATAGAAGAAGCGAAGAAGGTC